CTTTCCTCTCTTATTTTCTATACAGAACATATTCAAAGTGTTACCTAGTGGACGTTATATCAAATCAATAGACATTATCATCATTAAGAGTAGTTAAGCCCCTGTTTATCTTCCGTTTAAAAGAGGTTTTTTTTTTTTTGGTGGGAAAAATGAGATTTGGAATAGTGATTTTTAATTGTGTGCTACCTAGCCATATTCTCTGAATTAATCTTATCTTACCTTTCAATTTGGAGAAAGGGTATTTTCTTAAACTAGGCTATTAACAATCTCATCTAGCTTAAGCGAGTAAACACGGGTAAGCAGCTCTAAGATCTCAGTCGTTGCTTGCTGAGCCCCAACAAATGTGTATAAAAATGAAATAAGCCATATATTACATACTAGCTTGCATGTTACACCAATTAGTTCAATCGTTGAGAAGACAATACGATTTTGACATGTTTGGTAAACGTGAACTAGATAACATTGAATAGAAAAAACAAGTTAAGATCTTTCAGGGAATACTATCAAATTTTAAACAGTACTCTTTACCAAAACACAAGGAGAACAAGAATTCAGACATAAAACCTGAGAAGATTCCCCTGAGAATGGCTAAAAGGAAAATTTTGTTCTATTCTTGCTATTCTTCTTCATTCTCTTGGACCCGCAAAAGAAGCTGAACTGAAATCCAACGAAATTGGCAAAACAAGAAAACAGTCCTTTTCCATTAGAACGTCCTCTTCGATGAAGCCCTTTGGATTTCTTCTTACCTTCAATGTCACTTATCAAAAGAATTTGATCATCTTTTCTCCCTTCAATGCTTAGTGATTTAATCCTTCCATCTTTAGACTCACCTGGAAGTGACCAGTTTTCGAAAACTGAGCTCCCATATTCGTCCCCTTCTGCCGCATATAATCCTTTCTTCAAATAAGCTGCCACCTCTGATGGCAATGGCCGCATCACAGAATAAAAGGAGGCATTGGAGGCAACAAAACTCTTTGTTTCAGCCTGCAGATCAGGTTCTGATGGATTCAGTTTTATAATCTTTTTGGAAAATGGAGAGAAACTCGAATTCTTGGGTGATATTTCGATCCTAGAATTCTTTTCTGACCCCTCCTGGATGCGATTTTTGTTTTCTTCCTCAATCTGATCATACAATTCTGCATCATTGTTCCTAATTGTCGAAATACTTAATTCGCTGCTGAGGATTTCATCCAGGACACTGTTGTCTATCACGTGGACAGAAAGATTCAGGATTCCTTGCAAATGACCTGATGGACGGCAAATTTGAAGCGCAACCTGCCGTGAGCATTGATTTTTCTGCACGAGGGGGGGCAAAAGATTGCTGATGGGAAGATGGGTTGTCCCAATAGGAAGGTCGCGCAACCATGCAACATTATAGATTTCGATTGTGACAGCTGGATTTTCGGATTTAAGGAATGCATCATCAACGAGGAAGACAACCTTGTAATTCCATGTCGGATTCGTGTGCCCTTTGTGATCCACCTTTGTCGTTAATTTATGATCAGGATGTACATATGCAACTGCAAATGTGCGGAGCATTTTGGACACGGGGGCCAGGTCTTGTGCTGAAATGATGGTGATTTCGAGGAGCTTGAAGGGAATTTGATGATTCGACATGGTAATTGTTAAGGGCACGTAATTCCTGTGTTCTTGTCTTGTCGCCGTCTCAGAGCGACAAGAAGTTGGTATAGAACGAGGGAGAATAAGCATTAAGATGTTATTGCTCATTTGGTCAATACTGGCTATTTGGTTCTTGGTTCATTGCCACCAGAAAATCGGAAGGTAAAAACGAAATAATAGCGATGGTTGGTGTGATTTATGATTAGTAATATAAAGTGTTTGTTCTTTTCTCTCTTCCAAAAAAGTGGTCTCAACAATATTTCTAGATAGTATGCCACTCACTAGAAATGGGTTTTTTTTTGTCTTCCAACTGGATTGAACTGATTGGTTTAATTTGAATTTCCATTTAAAACTTAAGAGATTCTAAATCATCACCGAAAATCAGATAGTTCTGAAACTAGTGCTACTTATCAATTCCAGCTACAAAAATTGAAATTTGGTCAAATATTATTTGTTTATAATCTCTAAATTAAATTAACGATTAAGTTAATTTATAAAATGCCACATTAGTAATGTATTGAGAATAATCAACACTTATGACCTGTTAAAAAAAAAAAAACACTTGCGATGCTTGAAACAAAAATAAAATTAACACTTTTAACAATTTAAAACGTTTTTATAATTTTTTTCGATTCCTTTGCTACACATGAAACCAAACCGTTCTATGTATAAAACTTATTACGATTTAATTCCGTACAATTCTCATCAGAAGCTGAACGAATAAAACATGTCACACATATAACTCATTGGAGATTCACTATGGAATGTAAGAGTTAGTTTAGTTGATATTGAGCCCAAGAAGGAAAACGAAAGATAAAAGTCCATGGCAAATGAAAAAAAAAAAAAAAAA